AAGATGGTTTGTTTGGGGTTGGGGCTGTTCCTGACTTTTCATCTATTAGTAGTCACTGAGTACCTATGACACAGAGATAAGTTTCTTCTTGTAACACAGGGTCTCATTGCCTTTAGGGAGAAGATGCAGAGGCATATAAAAATGGCAATAAGTTTTAAAACTCACCTTTGTGCAAGGCTCCCTGTGCTATTTTCAGTGGATATTTATAGCAAGTCTAAGCAGGTAGAAGAGTATGATTGTGTCTGAACCCAGTGGCCCAGCCCCCGGGAACACACCTATCCTGAACACCAGGTACGCTATCACTAGCTCCAGCAAGAGAGCTGTGAGGGGCCTCCAAAGCAAGGAGTGAGAAAAGAGGCCCACCTGGAGCTCACGAATTGGGATTAGCCCTAGATAGGCTGGGTAGGAATGCCTGTGGGCTTGCTGGAAGAATCTCACACATTGCGGTCACTGTGAGATCCAGTCTATGTGCAGTCTCATCTCAGAAATCAGGAGTCTGGGCTGGCTGGCACCAAAGAGTCAAGGTTTAGCTTGTGAACATTCTGGTTTTGATCTGATGCAGATTATGCCACCAAATTACAGTCCGGTCGGTTCATTGTGAAAGCCTCTAATCTCCCTTTCAGTTCTCAGGCCCCGCTTTCCAGTCCAACTGCCAATGGAATTCCTTGTTATCTTTATCAATTACTGTCATTTCTGTCTTATAAGTGGAGAAACTCAGAAGCAGGGATAGCTGTTATCTATAGCATCCCCACGAAACCCAGGACTACCGACGTCAAGTGGGATAAATACATTAGTTCTCTTGACCTGGACAATCTACTCACAGCAGCCTCTCTTTTGCTTTGTATTTCTTTGCTTGACTTTCCATCTCCCGTACTGTACGAGTGACAACCAGGGCTTATAAACTTGTGTAGTCTAGTAAATGGCAGTGTGGTTTTCAGGAGTGGCCTGCCCAGCCTTCTACCCTGAATCTATCCTCCTTGTTTCAGATTACCAACATGTCTTGATCTTGGTAACTTCTTAACTTTGAAATGAGAATAGTATTAGTATCTCTCCCGTAAAAACATTGGGAGAATAAAGTAAGTGCCTAAAATGGTTCAGGGGAGTTTCTGCTATAATACAAAGTGCCAGGTAATGAAGTTAGCAAGACCATTCTCTCCCGTCTCTGCAGGACTCAATATAGTATTCTGCAAACTGAAAGCTGTGGTGGAGAGGAGCCTCCTAAATTTTTAATTTGCATACAAATCATCTGGAGATCTTGTTAAAATGCAGATTCTAATCTGGCAGGCCTGAGATGCTGCAGTTCTGGGAGCTCCTGGGTGATGCCTGCTGGGACCACACTTTGAGCAGCCAGTAATTCTCTCAGCATGTGGTCTTCAGACCAGTAGCTCCAGGGTTCCCAGAAAGCTTGTTAAAATACACGTGAGTCTTGGCATGCATCCCCTTACCTTCTCTCCCTGGACCAGTGCTCTAGAATAGACCCAGTGGTGTGTGTTTTTGTGAGCCTCCAGGTAAGGATGCTGATGCTCTCACTGTTTGACATGGACTGGAGGAGAGGACTAAAAAGAATCTGACACCTGGCGTGGCATCCTGGATTTGCTGTGCGATGGTTGTGTGGTCTTGGGACAGTAACTTCACCTCCCTTAGCCAAGCATGGAAGGCCCTAAGTACTGAGTTTTACTAAAGCCCAAGCGTGGCTGCCGAGACCCCAGCTACAATCAGGGCGCGTGCCACATTCTCGGGTCCCAGCAGCACTCTTTCTCCCTCATATGCAGCCCATTATCAGCATCTTCTCAGAAGACTCTTGTGGAACTGTAGGGAGATAATTCAAAAGCATTTGGAAAATTTAGGAGATAACACCTAATTGTAAAGTACTCAAACCTATTTGATCAATGCTCAAAGAGGTGAAGTGTCACATGGGACCGTCCAACCAAGTATTACTAAACAAAGTGCCAATAGTTATGAGGACAGCATGCAGGCCTCCTAACTGACGTGGTGCTTCCCATCAGAGTAGATCGATACCTGATCACAACTGCTTGAGAAGGAGCTGGAGTATGTGATTATAGCACTATCGATGGGTCAACGAGGAAACAACTGTTGAAATGGATGATTCATATCAGGACCCAAGTACTTCTGTGTCAATAGTTCCTTCTACCTCTTAAAGAAAACAAAACCAAAACCACTTTGCTACAAGTTGCGAATGGCTGGGTTGATGGCAGCAGTCATTCCTTCCTCCATCCATGGTGCCCAGTCATGGGGAAAGCTTTTTATCTGGCTCTGTCAACACGCTCACCAGCTGCGACTGTCTATAATTAGGGAAATCTACCTACCAAGTTGACCCAGTCACTTCCACCTCCGTCAAGAAGTGGAGAACCGAGCGGGATGATGGGACTTTTACTTTTGTGTATGTATTTAGTAAATGGTTTCTAAGTTTCAAACAACTATTACTGAAGGTCTACTAAGGACGAGATGCCGTAATAGTAGCCCAGACTTTTTGGACGTTTACCTGTTCCAATAAAACTACCTATATGAATCCAAAATATACGCCTCCCAGGTATACCCTACTTCCCTCACCTGAGTGAACCTCCGTCTCAAGTAACCTCAACTAGCCAACCCCCGTCTAATAGTCTCAGGACACACAGAACACTGCAGTTAAAGGAGCAATGGTGGAGTCAACAGGAAACCAAGGCTCTTCCCTCCAGGGTGCTAAAAGCCAGCCCCGTGACTGTCCCACCGTCATCTGGCCTCTCAACCATTTCTCTTATCGGCACAGTGTGACGTCTCAAGATGATCTTATCCTGTCCCCTCCACTTCTAAGCTCCATATTTGGTGCTCATGCGCACATGCCCCAGAGGAATGCAGGTCCGTGCGGCTCCTCAGTTACACTTCTGTGCATGGTTTACCTTTCCTCTGGTTCAGGACAGCTCCTGAAACTTCCACCACATGCCATTGCCTCAGGAGTGCTCGCATTCCATTGTCTGCAGCTGTCCAGCTGTCCTGTTCCTAGCACAAACAGGAAGCTAAAATGTATTCCTGCTAAACACATTCTCTCTTGCCTGACAGCTTGTTCCCTTAATATGGTGGGTCTATGTCGTGGGCCCATCACGAGACCAGAATGACTCTGAAGATGGTCCTACTAACGTTTTCAGAGGAAAGCTACAGTTCCACAGACACACCTGTCTAATGCGGGAGAGAGGAGAGAAGGTACCCTGTCTCATAACTGCTCACTCATCAGCACATCACTTGTTGGTAAACTGGTATCAAAAACTAGGCATCAGACCACAACACATCCAAATTCTCACTGAGCTTCTTTTCCCTTAAGAGTAAACTAAAGGCTTGGGAATACAAGTCATCACTCCCAGATTATCTACCTGTACCTCCCTCGCATCACCCCACCAGAACGCTAGGGGTATGGATTCAAGTACAGAGAGAAAGTGTAGAGCATTAGACACTACAGGCAAGGAAGGGTGTGTAGATAGCTCTATCTTAGCTATCCCTGTGGGAAGCTGGTGCATCATGTTAGTCACAAGAATGGCAGTGTAGAAAAAAAGGTCACGTGAAGACAGAATGATCTGAGATAGGGACAAGTGCTGCTGTGGAAGAGACTCAAGGAAATCTGCTTAAGTGTGACACAAAAATATTATACACAATGAAGGAATCTGACGGGGTCACACATACAGCAGAGAAATGTCATTGTCTTATAGGTCCCGAGTCCAAACATGAGTCAGCAGTCTGGCAGTATTGTTTAATAAAGCAAGAATGGAATTCGGAAGAGGGATAGAACACTGTGCTCAGCACATCTGAGCCCTCTCGCTCTTTCTTATTATTCTCTAATTGCATCTTGTGTCTATGTCTTGTCTCCCCAATGAGATCAAAAGCTCCCAAAGGACAGAGTCCAGGTTTGACTCTTCCCTTGAATGTTTTTACCACTGGCAAGAAAGTATGAGAGAGAGAGAGAGAGAGAGAGAGAGAGAGAGAGAGAGAGAGAGAGAGAATATGAATATATTTGCAGTCTCAGGAGAGCATAGGTGGAATTGTGGGATTGGCTCTGTAATTCCAGAAGGAATTCCCTTAAAAGACAAATGGGATAGAACTCAAATGAAAGGCTGGCTTGACAGAAGCCTGCAAAACTGATGACTAAAAAGACAATGACAATCCATCTACAACCTAGCAAGGGCCTGTTAATCTGCAGGCAATGAACACCTATCATCCCCGGTCCTTACAGTGACCCTGCAGGGTAGGTGTTAGCAGCCCCATCCTACAGTTAAGGAAACTGAGATCCAGAGGACTTGAGTAACGCAACAACCATGATCATAAAGCTCCTACGTGAGTGAGTTGGAGGAGTTAGAGTCCAGGGCTGCCTGGCACTGGAGCCCCAGTTCTTTGCATTTGTCCATATGCTGGGAGGGAGGATGTGTGTCATATATATTGTAGGATAAGGAAACAGACTGAGCCCGGAGGAGTGTTGTCCTTTCTGGCAAATGGGATGGTTACAGCATACACCTCCAGCCCAGCCTCACAGCTATGTGAACTGAGCTGTTGGCACCACAGGTCGGTGCCGAAGGTCTCTGGATCTTGCGGGATTCAGGGTACTCTATGGTCTCAGAGTCAGGGAGGGAGGCAAGCTCCAGATGCTCTGGAGAGGGTCCAAGGCTGTCTCTATTTGTGTCCTTTTCGTACTGCTTTAGCTGACTCATCCCATTGAGCTGTGTGCACTGTCCATCTAGTCATAATGAAATAAGACATCTTCAAACAAGCCTCCCTACTGTAAGTTGCAAAGAGAAGTAAGCAAGAAAATTCCCAAGAGAAAAGAAAGAGTGGGAAAAGACAAAACAAATGTTACGTGTTAGAGTTTATTATTTTTTACTTCTTTCATTTTCTCAGATTTTTCAAAAATCAAAATTCTCTCTTTTTAAAAAGATTACTCTTTTATCCACTTTTATTGAAAATAGAATCTTTTCTCATACTATATACCCTGATTACAGTTTCCCCTCCCTCTACTCCTCCCAGTTCCTCCCCACCTTCCCCTCCCCACATCCATTCCCTTTCTGTCTCTCACTAGAAAAGAACAGGCTTCTAAGAGATAACAAAATATAACAAAATAAAATATAAGATAAAACAAAATCCATCACATTGAAGTCAGACAAGGCAAATCAAGAGAAGGAAAAGAGACCAAGAATAGACACAAGAATCAGAGACCCACTCGTTCACACATTCAGGAGTTCCATAAAAATACTAAACTGAGAGCTCTAAGGTAAGCCCAGAGGACCTGGTGCAGACCCAGGTCAGCCTGTGCATGCTGCTTTGATCTCTGTGAGCTCATATGAGCTTCGCTCATTTGATTTAGAGGGCCTTGTTCTCCTGATGTCCTCCATCCACTCTGGCTCTTACACTCTTTTTTTTTAACATTAATTTTTATTTATTTGTATGAGTGTGTGTCTGCCATGTCTGTGCAGGTGCCCACAGAGGCCAGAAGAGGTGCCCACAGAGGCCAGAAGTGGGTGGAGGATCCCATTGAGCTGGAGTTACATATGGTTGTGAGCTGCCCGGTGTGGGTGTTAGGAACTGAAGTCTGGTCCTCTCTAAGAGCAGCAAGTGCTCTGAACTGCTGAGTTCTCCCCCAGTTCCCCCACAAATTCTCTTCTGTCAGAACTAGGCAAAATCACAGACATATTTAAAATAATGTAAAAGTTTAGGAATGAAGAAATACCTAATGCCACAAAAGATTTAGGAAAATACAGACAATAATTTACAACTTTTCTATTGCTCTTTTGCTGGGGAAATGATCTCTGTTTTTATAATCTGAAACATCTCTCATACCATAAACAAAACTCAAAAAGCAAACATACAAGAAATGTTTTAAGAAAAATGTATACGCTATCAAGTTGACCAACATCACAACAGCCTTTGGAATTCAAACACAAAAAGGCAACGAACTGATGGTCACAGAGATGTCATATCAGGTAAAGGTGATGCCCTCCCCAAGGAATTTGAGCTGGGCTAGCTAGGAACTGGCATACACAGCAGCCTGGGATTCCATTCTTCTGAGGTGCCCAGAGCTCCCTGAACAAAATAGCCTAGCTCTGTCAGCACAAAGCTGAGAACAAGTCTCCTGGCAAGGAGCAATGTATTGACCATCACACTGGAGACTTCAGAATCCTTCATCTTTCCTTGTGGCTATTCATACTCAGTTCCAAAAGGATCTTTTCAAATAGGACCAACTTCTCATCCCACATACCAAAATAATCCTGAAACATGTTTGAGAGAAATTTAATAGGCGCTCCAGATGATCTGAGGGAGGAGGACGAGACAACTCCCCTTTGATTCTCTGAGATGGAGAGATTTTAGGTCACAGAATCATAGAGAATTGCCAGTGAACAGGAGCTTAGAGTTGGGCTAATCACCTCAGACAGAGTCTGGTGCAGACGCTGAGTCTGTAGGTCTGAGGTAAGACCTGAAATTCTGGATTGCTATCAAGCCTCCAGTTGAGGACCACGTTTTGAACATTCTCAGCTTTACTGGTCACAGGAGAACTGAGATTAAAACTCTACCTGGATGTCCTTATCCACCACGTTCTCACCATATACGTTGCAGCAGTGCGTACGAGAGTGACAGCCGTTAATGAAAAGCCCTCACTCATTGCTGGTGGGAATGTCAGATGTTACAGTCCCTTTGTAGAATATTTGGCAGTTTCCTAAAACGAAGCATAAATTACTGCCATGTCCTCATTCCTAGAATAATCAAGTCAGGCATTTTCTTGGCATGCATATGGTACAACCAGATAGTTTAGGGGAGACCAACTAGAGATATCTGTTATGTGACTAAAAGAACCCTTGTCTTGCAGTCAGAGGTCCTAGTTAAGACTCTTAGCTAGTCTTTCTTAGTGTTTTCAGACTCCTATTTCTTTCGGTATTAAATGAGAATTAAAAAAAAAAAAAACCTACCTGGTAGTGTTTGAGAGATTCGATTTAATTAGAAATTGTGTAAACTCCATGGGCCTCCATAAATGTTATTTTATATCCTGAGATTAACTACTTTGTACGTAAGTACGCCTGACAGCTCTGGAGGCAAAGAGGTAAATATGGAGAGTTCCTTTCCGGTATACAACACGACTCTTAACAGCTCATCAGAGAGGTGAGTGAGCACAGGTCAACGGCCTGAAGGATGTCGACATTTTTAAAAAATACTGCAAACTAAGTATTTAATTGCTAAAGAGAGTCAAAGAGATAACTAGCTAGAGTTAGATGGAAATAACTCCTGAACACTGGCAGAGAGCTGGAATTGATCTCAGGCATGAAAGAAATGAGAGGCATAGATTGACAGAGGGGTGAACAGATCACTTAAGCGAGCTAAGTAACTTTTTCTCATCCATGAAATGGAGATTAAAACAAAACCTCGTAGGACTCTTGTGGGGATTAAATGAGATGATGCATTTACAAGCTTAGTACATTTCTTACACACGGTGCGCACTCACCATAATTTTTAACCCTTGCTGTTTTATTTGAGTGAGTAACATAAACCTATGATAAAAATAACAAAACTGACATTTGAAGGCATACGTGGATGAGTTTTGCTTTTGTCTTTCATCTCCATTAATAGACTCCCCTCCCTCATAGGTCACCACTCTAACATAAGTCTGCAATCTTTCTTTACACAGATAACAGCAAATACAAATATATTCAAAACTGGCCTTCGCTGTACAAGCAGGTTACACTGCATTTGAAGTTTCAGCACCTGGTTTTTTTGCTTATTTGATTTTTGTTTCTGAAACAGGATTTTGTGTCACACAGGCTGGCTTTGACCTAACTATGCAGCTGAGACTCTGGCCTTGATCCTCCTGCCTCAACATCTCTAGTACTGGGGTTACAGGCATGCACCACTATGCCTGGCAGGCGTGTGTGTGTGTGTGTGTGTGTGTGTGTGTGTGTGTGTGTGTGTGTGTGTGTGTGTGTGTGTGTACCTGTTCACATGATTGCATGCATGTGTGTGCATGTGTGTACATGTACATGTGAAGGCTGGAGGGCATGTCCATAGGAGGCTTTGCCCTCTGTTTTCTTCCTTCCTTCCTTCTTTCCTCCCTCCCTCTCTCTCTCTCTCTCTCTCTCTCTCTCTCTCTCTCTTTCTTTCTTTCTTTCTTTCTTTCTTTCTCTGTTTGAAGAACTCTCATTGGCCTGGAACTCTCCAGAGAGACTAGACTAGCTGGCAAGCAAACCTCAGGGATCTCCCCATCTCTGCTTCTCCATGCTTGGGTAACGAGCACAGGCCACCACCACACCTGGCTTTTCCACGTGGATTCTGGAGATTGAACTCGGGTGCTTCTGCTTTGGCGGCAAGCACTTTACCGACTGAGCTACCCCGCTGTGTGTGTCATTGACTAAATAGCATTCTAAAGTGCAGCTTATCCAAGGCCCCCATCGATGGACACTATACATTGGCTAACATGAATAACTTTTGCAACCCTAACATTTTTGCATATGTGTATTTTAATCTCCAGATGAGATTCCAGGAGACTGACAGATGCGTGTATAGTTGTAATCAATATTAACAGTTATCCCTTCATAGGATTCCAGGCTGCTTTGTGGTGCTTCCTCCTGTGTCCAGAACCAATGGAGTGCTGTCTAATTGGATTTTGATACTACTCTTACCACTTAATCTACAAAATCATTTATTAGCTAGTTCTTTTCCCAGTCTTTCTATGGTCTGTTTATCCGTTCAGATACCAGTATCCCAGTTTCAATTACTGAGGTTGGGTAACGGTGTTGCTATTTAGAGGGACTTTATTCATCTTCTCTGCTGTTTGTTCTCAGAGATTTCCTGGTTATTTCAGCTTGTCTATGTTTCCATGTGAACTTCAGAACCAGCTTTCTCAGTCTGGACAAGAGAAGACAGTCTTACTGAGATCATTATGAGAATTAGGTTAAATTTACAAACTAAAGAGAATTGACCTCTTTGTGACTTTCAGTCTTCCTAAGTAAAACATGACAAACCTTTCCATCTGTTGGGTTCCAATATTGGTTGTTGGTGTCTTTCTTGATCTCATCCCACACCAATTTCAGGTACAAAGGCCAGGAGATAAAGGATAACAGGTTAGAATGACAAACAGGAAATAGATTCACCTGTACAAAAGTCAAGGGACCATAGTTCTGAATCCTGGCCAAGCGGGAAGAGTTTACGTCCAGAAGAAAAGAGGGGAAGAGGAGAAAAACGTTGTTTGGACTTGATGCTTCATATTGGTTGTTTCAATTAATTCTCATTTTACAGATCATAACAATGTCATGAAAACAATCTGCTCTTCGGATTAATTTACCCCAAACTGCAAACCAGAGGTTACTACATGCCTCACACATGAGCTCTCCAAATGCTAGAGGTTATAATGTTAATGAGGATGAAAATGAAGAAACCATCAAGGCCCTAACATAAGAAGTAAATTGTCAGATATCTTAAAGATTCATAATTCAAACCTGTCAGCCAGTTTCGAAAGCCCGTACTATATTATCTTCCTCTGGGGAAGTTCACTTAGGTCAGTTCACTTTAACCGTGTTTATTAACTATCTGCTCTAAACAACTTGAATATTAGCATCCATTTCAGAAGTTACATTAGGGAAGGCTTAATAATTTATACATAATAAAAAGACAGTCATGTTATGTGGGCATGTGAGGACTGGAGGACACATTGGCTGATGTGACGGATTCCATAAAAGGATAGAGTAAGGTCAGCTTCCAGAGCTTTACTTAAGGGTGTAAAGACTGCCTGGTTCATTCATTCCTTTCATCTCTGTCCCCTCTCTTCTAGTCACTGGGTCTCTCTTCTTCTCTCTTCTCCATTTCCCTATGCCTGAAGTTCTCTGACTGACTGTTCTGTGAGCCCAGGCTTACATGGAAGCTCCAGGCTCACATTCTGACTTCACCCAGTTCCCTCCAGGGGAGTTTTCTGATGAGCCATGCTTAAGTCTGTCTCAGCTCAGTGGCCAAAGGACAGAGGGTCTAATAAACAGCAGCCCTCAGCCCATCCCCATACCTGTCCCCTAACCTCATGGCTGAAGTAGAGGATGAAGAATTGTAATTGTCCATTTGAGAGTTGAGGGCTAATCCTGAGTAGTGCTGGAAACAGAGCACCACAAAGACAATGGTAAAAGTTATTAGAACATGCCCCCCCCCCCCCATGGGTGATCATGCAGACGCTTAAAAATACTTTTAATTTTGATATTATGATATAATAACCTGGGAAGAGAGATGGTGAGGTGGCTATTCTTCTAAAGGACTCAGGCTTGATTCCCAGCATCCACGTGATCATTTACAACTACCCGCAACTCCCTCCTCCAGCCTCTGTGAGTACCAGGCACTCACATGGTACACAGACACATGGGCAAGCACAATACTCAGGCACATAAAATAAAAATAAAAATTATAAACAACATGGGAAATGTTATTTCATGGTAATCAATCAAGAAATATACAGGAGCAAAAGCTATGTGTAAAATCTGAACAGCAAATATACTGAACTTTAAAACCTACACCAAATATGAATACTCTTCTTTGGATGATGTGGTAATTACTGATTTTTCTCCTATCTTCTTTCTTTTCATTATTATTCTTTTTCTTATGGCATTTGTTTAGACCTGCTCTTCTGCTGTCTCTTCTGAAATTTTTTAAGTGTTTATTTTGTGGCTAAGAGTGCATACTGCTCTTGCAGAAGAATGGAATTCCCTTCCCAGCATTCACATGTGGCACCTCATTACTGCCTGTAACTCCAGCTCCAGGAGATCCAACGCCCTCTTCTGGCCTCTGTGGGCACTGCACTCACATGCACATACATTCACATGCATACACACACACACACACACACACACACACACACACACACACACATACACACATATTCCTATAATTACTATTAAAAAACTGTTTAAAAAATTCTAATATGCGTCATTACATTGACTTTTTTTTTTCTCCAATTGTGTTTGGTTCTATCCTAGGTCTCTGGGCCATTCAGTGTCTGGGTCCTGGTATAATAATGCCTAACAATATTCTGCTATACTCATAAATTGGTGACTACCCCAATTGTCATCAGAGAGCCTCATCCAGTAACTGATGGAAACAGATGCAGAGGGACCCTCAGCCAACCACTGGGTTGAGCTAAGGGAATCCTGATGAAGAGAGGGAAGAAGGATTGTATGAGTCAAGGTGGTTAAGGACATCACAAAGGAACCCACAGAATCAACTAACTTGGGCTCATAGGAGCTCACAGAGTCTGAACTGACAGCTAAGAAGCCTGCTTCCGACCAACCTGGGCCTTCTGCATATGTGTGACAGTTGTGTAGCTTGGTCTACTTGTGGCACTCCCAGCAGTGATAGCAGGGGCTGTCCCTAATGCTTTGGCTGGCTTTGGGGAACCTGTTTCTCATACTGGGTTGCCTGGCCCAGCCTTAATACAAGGGGGGAGCTTAGTCCTGCTGCAACTTGATATACCATGCTTTGTTGATACCCATGGGAGGCCTGTCCCTTTCTGACCAGAAACAGAGGAGGAGTGGATTGGGAGGGGGCTGAGAGGAGGTGGGGGAAGGGAATGGGAGGAGAGGAGGGAGGGGAAACTGTGGTCAGGATGCAAATTAAATGGATAAATTGAATAATAAATAGGTAATTCTAATATGTTTCCAACAACTTCTCTGTTAACTTAAATATTTATTATGCTTTTAATTCCAGGAACTCACTGCTTTTCTGGGTTTTTGTGGTTGCTATTGTTTTATTTTGCTTTTTCACAGTATATTGCATCTGACTAGTATTTTCTTCTTATGTCTGTAAGGATATAATGTGAATTTTATGTTGTTAAGTTTTTCTGTTCTCTGAAGAACTATTAGTTTTCTCTTGGATGTTATTTCTTTGTTGTTTCTGGCTCTAACTGTTTTTTTTTTTTTTTTTTAACCTTCCCTCAAATAAAATCCAGTACTTCAGATGTGTTCCTCTTCAATTTCTTTGCAGCAATGGTTCTCAACTGCCGAGCTTCACAGTAAATGTGGGGCGAGGCAAGCTATTCACTGAGGAATCCCTAAATGTCAGTGTGTCTTCCGGGAAGAATTCCTTGTTTTCCTGCCTGGGAATAATAGAAAAAGAAAGATAATTAAGCAGGGCACGCATCAAAGAAGGGAGATGTGGTGATGAAGGCTCCATAGTTTAATACATTAGACTTGTCCCCACCCACTTCCTTAGAGACAAGGTTTCTCTATGTAGTTTTGGTTCCTGTCCTGGATCTCACTCTGTAGATCAGGCTGGCCTCAACCTCAGCGAACTCAGAGAGATCCTGGCTCTGCCTCCAGAGTGCTGGGATTAAAGGGGTGCACCACCGCCCGGCCCCAACCCTTTTCTTTTAGCCTTCTCTGTAGCCTCCTACTTCTAACTTTGGAAATACTGCTTCCTGGGGGGAGGGGCAGGTCAGGAGGAGCTGTGTAGTTACTTGGTTGTGTAAACAGGAGGGGAATTTGGAGAAAGGTCTCACATCACTATGAAGCACCTTGCAGCCGGTCTCCCTCCATTACCCCAAGAGAGCTGCCTTTATTGTGTTGACGTACCACGAGGGACCCGTCCAGTGAATCTATTTTCATCAGCATCCCTCGCTATAGGCACTCAACTTGGTCAGTGAGCTCTCTCTCTCTGTTTTGCTTTTGATTTACGAAAACTAGTTCATTTCTACTCATTTTGTGCTTCCAAGTTAATGCTTTTAAAAATCTCAATCAGGCCGGGCGGTGGTGGCGCACGCCTTTAATCCCAGCACTCGGGAGGCAGAGCCAGGCGGATCTCTGTGAGTTCGAGGCCAGCCTGGGCTACCAAGTGAGTTCCAGGAAAAGGCGCAAAGCTACACAGAGAAACCCTGTCTCGAAAAACCAAAAAAAAAAAAAAAAAAAAATCTCAATCAGGGGCTGGTGAAATGGTTCAGTGGATAAAGCTGTTTGCCGTCATGCCTGAGTTTGATCCCTGGGACCTACACAATAAAGCTGATTCCTTTAACCTCCACATGTGTATGGCATGCACACACACACTCACATGCACTCTTAATTAATTAATTAATTATATCTCAATCATTTCATTTTTGTGGACTGTTGGAGAGAATATAAATAAAACGCATTTTCTCACCATTCTCAATAAGAAATCTCACTTCAAATCTTTGTTAAGCTTTGCAAAATAAATAATGTACTAAGTTTACAATGGGGAATACAAATTTTAAATGATTAATTAAATATTTATAAGAAAAAACTCTCAAACTAGATTGCAAATGGGGAGAAAAAATTAATATGATATTCATACATATAAATTTGTGTCTTTTAATGATGAAAAACTTGTAATTTATACATAGTAAAACTGTAGTTAAAAGTATACCTGAACAACATTTTTGTGTTTTTATCATCATATATATTTTACTAATCTGTAATTGAAGGAAAGAAGGAAGGGACTGGGAGGGGAAGGAGAAAGCTTTTGGGTTTAGCATTGTGAATAAAATATCCAATAAAATAAAAAATCCAACCAGAAAAATGTCACCATAGATATTAGATTTCTGAATATTTGAAGGAAAAAAAATAAACAGCAAGAAAACAACCATGGAAGTAACCAACCACTTTCTGATTATATTTAAGTCATACTTCACAAGCTGAAACTCCTATCTGGCACCAACATTTGGTCAAGAACACGTGGCTAAGAGGTCATAGGCCCTAGTAGAGGTGGACATGGTATTAAATCCACCCCTAATGACTTACAGTTATACCCATGAAGTAATGTATCTCTCAGCCCTCATCAGCAGATGATAATTAACATAGAGACCCACAATTGGTCAAGGCACAGAAAATAGGAGACTGTAAATAATCAGCTCTAAACAGAACACAGATACTGTAATCCCTCCTCCTAATGTTCAGGGATCATTGCAGAAGAGGGGCCCGAAAGAGTTAAGAGCCGAAGGCAGTAGATGACAGGGGAACCGTATCTTCTAGGCACAACCGTGCAGCTGCACACACAAACTTAGAGAGGTCATGGCAGCATGCACATAGCTTGTGCAAGCTGAAGACACCAAATCCTAGTACAGGAAGGAGAGCTGGGCGGGAAATCCCACCCTTAGCCATGGAGGTGCTGACAATTGGTAGCTGCTGGACGAAAGAGAGTCAGTTTTTCAAGAGTATAGCTCCCAGAGAAACAGAATATTCAGATAGCACAAATTGATCTTGATTGGTTTGAAAAAAAAAAAAAAAGGACACAAAGTTGGAAACAGGAGGTGTGGATCTGGAAAGAGTTGTTGGGGGAGGGATGAGGATGATCAAGCATGTATGAAACTATCAAAGAACTAAGACTTTAAAAAAGGAAGGTAAACCATGAAAAGAAAAAGTGAGAAATACATAAAGGCTGATGTTTCAGAGAGAAGAAAGGCTTGGATGCTTCTTTGATTTGGACCTGGGAATTATTTAAAAATAAAGAATAATACAAACAGCGTTTAGTTAGATCAGAGGGACTTGCTGGTTCAGATTAAGCCAGTCTCAGTGTGAGTAAAATAGCAAACCCTAGGAGTTGCTGTGATGGCAAATAAAAATGCTGGCTAGTGCGAGAGGCATTAGTTCTGCTCCCCACAATGAAACTACAAGGAAACGACATGAAAGTTTAGAGCTTATTGTTACAGTCCAGCTGTGTTAAAGGTGCTGTATCATCTGGCTGACTCAACTTCCGCCTATTTCCATTTTGGGGAAACGTTTTGAGGAAAATGATAACCTAACCTGTCTTGACATATTATAACTGAGTAAATCATTTAGAAAAGGAGAAAAAAAATATTGGGGAAAAAATAGACTCTGCAGAGACTTTGAAAGGTTGTTTAGCATAATGGTGCATGAAGAAAAAATCATTCCCCTAAGTACCATGAGTGGCGAATACTGTAATGGATGCTTTGCTTAGGGATGGTGTCACCATACAATTTCTCTATCCCATCAAAACGGGAACATTTCTTTTTTTAATTATCAAACCCACCTAATGGTGCTGATAGTTAAGAGTATGCTGCCACTGGAAACTGTTCAGCCATTAAGAGCTCTGGCTGCTCTTGTAGAAGACCTGGCTTCAGTAACCAGCATGTACAAAGTGGCTTATAACCATCTGTACCTCCAGTTCCAGGGGATCCGATGCCCTCTTTTGAGCTCCATGAACACCATGGACACCAAGCACATACATGGTGCACATGCGTGTGTGCAAATACAGCACTAACTAACACACAAGAAGTAAATAAATAGATGGTCTAGCGATGAGGTTCACGTTCAAGTGTAACCCTCGCTGATTGCACAGGCACCAGGAAACTACTAACCTCTCAGTTTCTTCATCTATAACAATAGTGAATCATCACAGGGGTGGGTATAAGTCTGATAAGAAATAATCAGTCAAGTATGGAGAGAAGTTTGCACATTGTGAGAAGTCAATAATGTAAACTGTGATTTCTTCTAAAATAAAAATGTTAATCATGGTCATTACATATTTCTTACTGCTATGTGACAGGCATCCTAGCAAACACTTAGCTTTTTGTCTTCATAATAGCTCATTAATGTAAGTGTAATGCCGACTTTTAGATGAGAAAAATGAGGATCAAAAAAGTGAAGGCATTCACCATAGCTTATAAAGTAAGTAAAGAGACGGGCTCTCAACCTAGGCCTGTCTTATGTCAAGTCACAGCATACACCTTAAAGATGAAATTGCCTATGCAGCTAACCACAGCTGATCTTGCAGAAACTTAAGAGTGTGACTGTAATCCAACAATGTGTGATATTTTGTGGAGGTCACTTTAGAAGTCGAGCACTGGGAGATACAACGATGAACTACCATGAACCCATGACCTTGATTCTGAAGCATCCAAGAGGCTTGCAGAAACGGAAATGTAAGCAGATTTTGTTTGGATGAAGCAGCATAGAAAATGTGCTAAACAGAAGAATGAGGTGGGCTGTGTGAGCACCGAGGAGGAAGCAATTAATTCTGGCAGAGCGATAAGGGAAGGCTTTGGGGATAAGCTGTAAATGAGCTGAGCCTTGAAGGTTGCATAGACTTTGATTAGTGGGGGAAGTAATGGTCATTCTGGGGGTAGCAAAGGTGAGGAGGCGTGAACATAGTTCATGCCTGGGGATCAAGCAGGTGATCATTGAAGAAGATTGCCACATGCACTAATGGATGCCATGGAAGAATGAGACTGTTAAAAAAGTGGTAGGGGGTAAGTGCTGATCATGAGGTCCCTGAACACTTGTTTAAAAGACTGAACTGTATTAAGAAGTCAGCAGGGAGTCGTTGGAAATTTTATGAAGACAACTCTAGCAGCTGCCTCGGAGACAGCTTGAGAAAGTGGATTGACAGAGATAGAAGGCAGGAGGGAGGAGGGCAGAGATGTCCAAGCGAAAAGTCCACTTTGTCCTTCTGGGTCTCTCTGTTCTAAACAATTCCTCCAATACAAACATTTGTATACATTTACAAAACATGTGATCTTTGAATGAATTCTTCAAGAGCAAGATGTAGCAATGGAGATTAAGGAAGATGGCTACAACCCACCCCTCCCGCGCCCGTCTCCTCTACAAGGTAAAGGGCAGTCATCTTCGTGGTGTTCTGTGGGGTGTTGGTACTGCAATGAGACAATTAGGGACAGGGATAGGAAGAGGAAACCCAGTGGGGGCGCTCCTGAGCTTCTTCCTCTTGCAACCAGAGCAGATCCTAGACCAGAATCTGAGGATGGGACTTTATCTGTTGTTCAACAGTGTTTCCTCAGCCTAGCACTGTGTCCAGCATAGTTGCTGTTCAGTGTTTGTGGAATGAATGAATGGAAGGACAGAATTACTTTCCAGAGTTTTTTTGGAAAGTAAAGATTCGATGTAAATAGGCAACGAAGGGAGAAAAGAATGTTTTTAATGATTCCTTTGAATGACAATGTCTGGTAACGTTCTAGGGATCCCATGACAGCATTCAACAAAGTGAAGGGTCTTTTTCATTTTTAAAAAAGACCTAAATATGAAAATCAGACCTATTTTAACCAGTTGTGCCATCAACTTTTCTCTCTCTTGCCTTTGCTAAAGACAAAACAAACTCATTACAATCGCTATT